CGACTAAAGCATAATTGAATCGTGAAAACGTGCATAGATTGAATATGAACTCAAGATTATCAAGTAGGAGTACTCATACAATCATCCAATCAAACAAACATAGATAGGGTTCCTCAAAACTTAAGTGAAGGGAAGTTACTCCATAGAGAAGAGAGAGATTGCAGTAAGAATCTTCAGATGATCAGTTTTCAAGTCCGGGCATGTTCCTCGAGCTTCCAAGGCGAAGAAATCTTCCAATTTCACTCCAAGAATAGCCCTCAAATCGCCCTCTCTCTTTGGTTCGTCCCTTGGGTGTTTGGGATCCAAAACCCAGCTCTCCCCTGCAAAAACGCACAAAACAGGCTTTTAACAGCATGCGTTCGCGATCCCCGATCAGAATACCCGATCGGGTATTTTAGGTGGCCACCGGAGATTGTTGAAACGCACCGTCGGGGACAGGGGTTAATACCCGGTCAGGGTCAAGAAAACCCGACCGGGGATTTATGATTAATGCCCGGGCCCCCTTCTGCTTCTCAAATGCCCAAAACATGTTTTCCTCGGTCTGCTCCGATTAATACCTGGTCGGGTATTTCTGCCCATGGCCGGGTATTTTGCTCCTCCAGCACACTTCAACCCAAACGTGCTCCTTTCAACCCGAAACTCGTTCCTTTGCCTCGATGCCAACGCCAAGTCCTGAAATATGACATAAACGCATCAACCTAACGTGAAATCGGCTTAAAACACGAGAATCAACATCTCAAACGGCTCAAGAATAGGGGTAAAAACATGTGCAATCAATGGTCTATCAAACTCCCCCACACTTAACCGTTTGCTAGTCCCCAAGCAAACCTAACTCAAACCAATGCAACTCTCGAAACCTCTATAACAACAATCCTCAAGTAGGTAAACCGTTCAACGGGTGGAAGTTTTACTTGTACTAGAGACAGCTTAGCTTCACCTTGCAGGAGTACCCCACTAAGGATCACTAAAATCTCATCCAAAACCCAATTTTGTGCAATGAACGGTGCCACACACGTTGGGCTTACCCCATGTTTAAGATTTCAATGATTTCGACATGGAGGACCAACTGCTTTTCATTTTCCACATGAGCACCATGTTCGATACACGAGTCCATAACACAATCCAAACAGAGTCACCATTACCACATGAATTCAACGGTCTTAGCTCCACTAATTCACACAATCAACTGGCACAGCAGAGAGCTAGATAGGAAAAATCTTATACTTCAACATCCTCCATAGTGCTACACTACCTCCCTAGGTTGCACATTACTATAGAGACTGTCAATTCAAAGCATACCGAGCAGGCAATTTGCAAGGAAACACGTACTTGGAGCCCTCAAATTTAAAAATTTGGACAGTGGACTAGGCTCCAAGCACACAAACAGATCTAAGCATTCACACGCATACATAATCGAACACCCCCCCCCCCCCCCACACACACTTAAGCACGACATTGTCCTCAATGGAGAAAAGATAATGAGGGTAGAACAAAGTTACCAGATCAAGGGTGAATGATGGTGGACGGGGCAGGCGGTGCATTCCAGGAGGAGAGAGTAGTCGGAACAGAAACACCACACAAAATCTCACAAAGGTTGAGTTATTGACTCTAAACTCAAATAACAAAACTGACTCAACCAAGGAGAAAAGAGAAAGAAATGCAAACCGACTGGTTGGGTTGCCTCCCAACAAGCGCTTCTTTCACGTCGTGAGTCGGACGATGGCTCCTAAGTTTCGGTACACCCCAAAACCTCATTGAAGTTGAGGTTCTCGTCAATGAGGTGGAGTCTTAAGTCAGAGCATGCGGTATGACAAGTTATGGAAGCTCGTGCACTTGATGCGGATGAAGTCTCCACCCTCGAGACCTCTTCTTCTCTTCTCTCGTCTCATTGCCCCAAACTAGCTATGACAGCATCGATCTACCACCATCGCGTCCACCAAGAGGGATCGATGTCGACGTGGCCGTGGTCTGGCAAAGGGACACTGCAAATGGATCCTTGCTAACAGTTCTTCGAAGTTTGGTGGAGATAACACATGTAACTCATGGCCAGTGCAGGCCTCTTCCATCTCAACTCCGTTCTCAGCCTGGACGCCAATTGCTTCTTCAACCCCCTTTTCTTCTTCCTGTGGTATCACCCCCGGGAAATGATCAAGAACTCCTTCTGCTTCACTTTCGTCATCCTCCACAACTTCTTTCTGCATCCTTTCTTGCTCTTCTTCTTCCAGCACGGATTGGAGGGCAAGTCACCAAGCTATTTCTTTGATGAGATCTTCTTGCATCTCCTAACTCATGCCCGCCTCTTCAAAGTTCAGTGTGGGATGTGGGAGGGTGTGGTCTGCTATGACAGGACATTCCTGATCATGATCATCACTTGAGCTCTCCGTGACAACTTCTGTGTGCTCCACAATGTCCTTGTAGCCTTCTTCTTCCTCCTCCTCTTCTAGTATGGTAGCAGAAGGGTGATATGGAGCAGGTTGTGCATAAGATCGCTCAAGATCATCGACGCTCTTCTTAATGCTCAGGAGGATCTCCTCTGTTTCACGATAGGCCTGGGTACAAAGATCCATCTTGGACCATGATCTCTCACTGTCTCGAGCAAACAGCTCCATGATAAGCCTCAATTCATAGTTTGGATCTGGTTGGGGAGTGTAGCATGGCTCTACAGAATGGCCCGTGAAGGCCGCCATGGGTAACTCCAGCTCCGATGGCCCTTCTGGTTGTGGGAGAAAGTCTTCTTGGTAATGAGGTTGTTCTTGATATGCCGAGGGGTCTGATTGTTCTCCGTAGTAAGGGGGTTGGTACTGGAACCCGAATCCATAGTCTTCTCCTCCTTGATTGCTCCAGGGAGTCTCGGGGTAATACCACTCAGACGGTGGTGGATACCACCAATGGTTGGAGAAGCCATGAGGATCCATGATTCAGATCTGCACCAACAAAAACAAAAACACCCAAGTGAAAAGCAAGGATGGAAAAGAAAAACGCTAAAGTGACAAACTTCTGCCTTTCCTAATAATCTAGAAAGTCCCCGACAACGGCGCCAAAAACTTGACTCGCTATGACACAACACCTAACAATGGCCAAGTGTAACCAATGGAAGGGACTGCAGTATAGTGGCTCAAGTAATAAATATCAAATCCACGGGTCTCTAGAGTTGCTATTACTCAGCTTCAGTTCATTATCTAGCAAACCAGATTAAGATGGAACAACTAAAACTACTCTAACAAACTACAGTAAAGTTAATCTAATTACAGGTTGGGAACTCACTTAGGTATGATTCCCCCTAGCCACTAGCCAGATTAACGATTGATGATTTCTAACTTGTTTCACTTTCATTCACAATGCGGAGAATCCTTGACTAGACCTTGAGTCTCGACTAAAGGAACAAGGCCCTCTTGAGTTAATTGCCTAGAGGGACGTATCCTTCTCTAGAACAACCGATCAAGGCGTTCTGAACTAGATTCCCTCTATCGGATGAGGTTCTCAATCGATACAAAGCAGTGAATCGACCCTCGACTAAAGCAATCGATCCAATACTATCAATCTATGGTGCTCTATTGACCTAATCAGGTATTCGCTCTCATAGGATCAAAGCAGAATCAATAATCTCGACTAAAGCATAATTGGATCGTGAAAACGTGCATAGATTGAATATGAACTCAAGATTATCAAGTAGAAGTACTCATACAATCATCCAATCAAACAAACATAGCTAGGGTTCCTCAAAACCTAAGTGAAGGGAAGTTACTCCATAGAGAAGAGAGAGACTGCAGTAGGAATCTTCAGATGATCAGTCTTCAAGTACGGGCTTGTTCCTTGAGCTTCCAAGGCGAAGAAATCTTCCCATTCCACTCCAAGAATGCCCTCAAATCGCCCTCTCTCTCTCTCTCTCTCTCTTTCTTTGGTTCGTCCCTTGGGTGTTTGGGATCCATAACCCAGCTCTCCCCTGCAAAAACGCACATAACAGGCTTTTAACAACCAGCGTTCGCGATCCCCGGTCAGAATACCCGGTCGGGTATTTTAGGTGGCAACCGGGGATTTTTGAAATGCACCATCGGGGACAGGGGGTTAATCCCCGGTCAGGGTCAAGAATACCTGGTCGGGGATTTATGATTAATGCCTGGGCCCCCTTCTACTTCTCAGACGCCCAAAACATGCTTTCCCCGGTCTGCTCCGATTAATACCCGGCCGGGTATTTTTGCTCCTCCAGCACACTTCAACCCAAACGTGCTCCTTTCGAACCGAAATCCGTTCCTTCGCCTTGATGTCAACGCCAAGTCCTGAAATATGACATAAACGCACAACCTAGCATGAAATCGGCTTAAAACACGAGAATTAACATCTCAAACGGCTCAAGAATAGGGGTAAAAACATGTGCAATCAATGGTCTATCAGTTTCATTGGTTAGAAGTGTCCGAAATCAAATCAACTAAACCAAACAAGCTAAAAATTTAACCAAACCAAACCAATAATCCAAATTTACCAAACCAAACTATCCAAATACTACTGGTTAAAACGATTACCACAGTAACCACACCGTTTGAACACCCCTAATCGTATCAATGCCTAATGTTTCCGCAATCAATTTTTGGTTGCTTCAACTTTCTGCAAATACAGACTTGCATCTGTTTATGTGGGTGTCTTTTGCATGATTTTAATTCCAAGAATGAGAAATTTTCCAGTTCTCTTTTGGGTTTGATGCTACTGATTCCTGTGGTGTGAGTTGTGCATAGAGATCTTTAAGTCTGCATGCAACTTTTTCTTACCGGGATTGTGGACATTTTTGCTTATTTTTTAGTTCAACTTAGGCAGTTACATTCCGTTGAACTGTTGTGGATCTAGAGAACAATTGATGTAATTTATGTTGTTATGAATATATCCTCTACGTAGTACTTATACAGTTCCATTAATAAATTATTAGATTAGAGAATAAACAAGTGAAAGCTTGAGGCAGTTGATGAAATTCTTTATTTGGATGTAATGATTAGAGCCCATCCTCCTTTTGACATTGCAATTATTTATTAGTTATGACAAGGTTTACTTGAATGAAGACAAAGTCATGTGTATTTTTTTTACCATCTCGACACTTTATCTTTTAGCACATGATGCTATCTAGAGTGTGCATTCCTCTTCCCAATCTATGGGCAGCACCCTTGGATCCCCACCTTGGCCATCACTACATGGAAGTACTAACAACATTGATGTTGATGTTGCTATTGTCAAAGATTGTATGTGTTTGTCACATCTTCCAGTCACTCCAAAAGAAAACACGATGCCAAAGCACCATCGCTCCACAATATTTCTCAGTTTTATTGCCATTCCCTTTTTTCTGGCGAATGGTCACTATGGTGGGAAGATAAAACAAACCAGAAGGACATCGATTTCTTCTTTTTAAGTGTGTTTCATGCCTGTATATTTTGCAAACATGCTACATAAGGATTCTTACCAACATTTTAGTTTCCATCGCAATTTGAATAATTAAATTTGTATTTCTTTTGACTTCCAAATTTGAATCTTTCTTCTAATTACTTTTGCAACTATGTGGAATTTGCCTACTCATGGAAATCTATTATCCAAATTCGAATTGAAGTGTTGTCCTCGCCTGTCTGGTAGATTAGATCCAATAAATACTTGCTAGATGTTCAGTTTAATTAACTTGAATAGGTCTAATTTCTGCAGTCTTCTTTGCTATCTAAACACAGAAACAATTTCACGTCACTTATTTCATATTCCATTACCAACTAATGACAAGTGTCTAATGAGATGCTGCCCTCACAATATACATGATCTAAGAGCATTATTACGTTCATACCAATAATTCAATATTCGACTCAGGTACCTCCGACCAACATGTCGGGTTATAAGCTAGTTAGCATATTAAGACATGACAAGTTTTTGCTTAGTAATCACACAAACCCACTTGAAATTGTAGAAACCACATAATCAAGGCTGCACCAGTAGCGAGGATGGACCTTAATAAAAGTTCTTGCTTTAGCTGCTCAACTAGAGGTACCAATTACCAGCTGGATGCCAAGTCGGGAGTTTGATTAAAGCAGGACAACCACAAGGACGAGAATCATGACCAACAAAGCGGAGAAATAGGGTCGGTAAGGGAGAATCGGCAAAGTACGGTTCTCAACGAAATTTGAACACCACTTCGAGGGTCGACAGACAAGAAGAAGTGAATGGTGAAATAGGGAAAAATTACCTCCCCACCGAAGGACGAAGTCTTCGAACTCAACAAATAAGGGGTGAGATGATGTACATAAACGAAAAAGAGCCAACAATGTTGATCGGCGACGGTGGAAGGATTATTATTATTATTATTATTATTATTATTATTATTATTATTTTGGCAGATGGAGGGGAAAGAGTTTTTGGCCAGGCGAACAATTTCTTGTGGGGAAGGTGTCTGATTAGTCTCCCTGGGAAATTTCTTCCCCTTCCATAACCCGAAGGACATTATAGCTGGCATTGACAAGCAGATCCAGTGCGACAACTCTCTTTTTTACCCCCTGTTGGTTATAAACTGCCAGATCGTGAGGAATAGAGATGGACGATTGGGAAAGGGGAAGCGAAACTCACAACCCATAACCTTTTAGGGTTGTGACGCTATCTAATCGCCATTCCCGCCCATAAAAAAATTGGAACTGAAGTATAAATGTTTACTGTTTAGAAGAACTTAATTAAACAGTAGAAAAAGATCGCAAGGCAACAGTTTTAGGAAAAGAAACACCAGAAACATGCAAGTCTACATGAAAACGTTAAGCATAAACAGCTGCAAGTCTCAATAACCACAAATTTGCTAAACAAGCTCTGTAAAAACTAAACCCATTAACATAAACCAAAAAAAAAAAGTGAGAAGTTTTTCCCCATGCGTAAGAACTCTACCACAACAACGGCTGACGCAATGGCTAGGGCCAGTGTTACTGGCATAACTGCTCAACTGCCGTAACAATCTGGGCAGGCTGCACAATTGTGAATTCCTCCAGTGTCCCAGCATAAGGTGTCGGAACATCCTGTGAAGATAAGCACATAATTGGGGCATCCAAATAGTCGATGAAGTTCTCGTTGATTGCTGCAGTCAAGCTAGCACCAATCCCTCCCGTCCTCATGCATTCCTCCACTATCAGCACCCGATGCGTCTTCTTCACCGAGTTCCCAATAGTGTGAAGATCGAAAGGTTTCAAGGACCTGATGTCAATCACTTCAGGGTCGTATCCCTTGTTCACCAAAGTCTTAGCAGCCTGCATCACGTGATATCTCATTCGAGAGTAGGTCAAGATGGTGATATGTTCCCCTGGCCTAACCATCTCGGCTTCCTCCAAATTGCAGATGTACTCTTCATCCGGGATTCTTTCCTTGAGGTTGTAAAGCAGTACGTGCTCGAAAAGGATCACTGGGTTCTCACTTCGGATTGCAGCTTTCATCAAGCCCTTTGCATTGTAAGGAGTGGAGCATGCAACCATCTGGATTCCAGGGATGGACTGGAAATACGATTCAAGACGCTGCGAGTGCTCAGCACCAAGCTGGCGTCCAACACCACCGGGCCCACGGATGACGATTGGGATGGTGAACTGGCCACCTGAGGTGTAGTGGAGCATGCCACAGTTGTTTGAGATCTGGTTGAAAGCTAGGAGGAGAAATCCCATATTCATCCCTTCCACAATTGGGCGTAATCCAGTCATGGCAGCTCCAATCCCCATACCGGTGAAGGCATTTTCAGCAATTGGAGTGTCGAGAACCCTGAGATCCCCAAATTTGTCAGCTAGCCCTCTGGTCACCTTGTAGGAACCTCCATAGTGACCCACATCTTCCCCCATGACACAAACCCGATTATCTCTGTCCATTTCTTCTTCTAGCCCTTCTCGTAGGGCCTCAAAAAGCAGAAGTTCATGTCTGGTTATAGAAAGATTGAGATAAGCAATTCATGAGAAGAAAGTGCAAACTTAAGAGTCATAAGGAACAGAAAAGCAGATCCCATTATAGACATGGCAACTGAAAGCATATTGTGCAGTATGTATCAGTTTCAAAACGTTAGTGGAAGTGCACCTCAGAGAACTCATGGAAAGGCTATTGCATGAAAATGTTTTGGTAAGCATTTGTTTTAGGTTGCATATATTGTTGGTCATCTATTTCTCTAAGACACTTTGGAAAAAAAGAACCAGCAAAATCAAGTGGCTTGACAACCAACTATTGGAGAATGTGTTTCTATGACATTTCTTCATAAACCACAATATATCAAATGATTCGAGCATCATAATTTTCTTAAGAAACGATTGCATGAACACAAGCCTCCGGATGTTGTAAGCTTCGAGGAAGGGGGTATTGTAAATGCTCTATTTGTCGTCAGGGAAAAGTTATATAAGTGACCAATAATCTCTCTAAAAGTACCATACATTCATCTGTTAGCCAATGTTTCTACAACATCACATTGAGGCAGGCAACTTTCATAATTATTGTGTGGGGACAGAAATGATACAGCTGATAATGATGCAATCCGGTTTTCTAGCATAAAAGTGTTTCAGTTTGCTGTTCTAGTACGAAAACAATTGCCCCAAGATAACAAACGATACGATCAAACAGCTACAAGTGGTTGCAATTATTCACAGTTTTACTATCATAAGTAGAAGCATACCCGGGTTTAGATGCAGATGATGCTGCAGCAGCATCGGCCTTAGTCTGGAAAAAACAGAAAACAAAGCATGAAAATTTAAGGTCATCCCACTTAAGCTGAAATGCTCTAACATCAAGACTGGTAGAACTGGTTGGTTGAAAGGAGGGAAACACTTACAGCAACAGCATTGGTAACTAACTGGTCAAGCCTGCGAGCTCCAGCACTAGAGCCCGTGTTCAAGTTCAGACTACCATCAGATCTAACCACAACCAAGCTTGTTTTCTTGCCTGAATCAAACAAAGCACCCTCCCCAAGTTAGGAAATAAGCTAGCCATGATGTTGATTGTCGGCTAAACCTACAAAAGTTGTGTTCTTTTCCACAACGACAGACAGATAAACAAATGCAGGGCAAAGGGAAGAAACGAATCAGACTTTTTCACAAGCGCCAATGGGCGGAGAATCCACCGAGAACAAAAATGAATTAACAAACCACCAGAAAACAAAAGCAAGGCTGAAAAGGGTGAAAATAGGTTCATCAATGGGCCGTGTTAAAGACACAGATAAGCTGTCAAACCCTTCAATCGAAGCGCTGACTGGACACAATGAACTTCGAGGTTTACGCAAAGCCCAAAGGGATAGTGCATCCATATTCAAATCACTCCACGAATCAAATCACAGCTCAATTTTGAAAATTGCTAGCTATTCAATAATTAAAATCACAAAGTAAATCAGCGTCGAACAAGTGGGCAGGCGCAAAATTAAGCAGAGGAATGAAAGGGGCAGGACTCGGGAGCAATACCTGGGAAGGATCTCCTCGAGGAAAGAAGTAACTTGTTGGAATCGAGGGGATTAGCGGCGGCAGTAATTGCAGCAGTAGCTCCCAATCCCTGGAAAACAGTCGCCATTTCCGGGAACTTGACTGGCAGCGGATTGGGAACGGGAGAAGAAAATGCAGAGCGGAGGCAGGACGGGAGGGATTTGCCTGAGGGAACTTATTAATAAAAGGGGGAATTGAGCAAAATTGTCGAGAACAAGAGAGAGGAGGCGGAGACGCCGAGGCTGCTGCGACAAAAATGCGTGCTATTAGTTAGTAGCTGGTAAGCTGTCAGTTGAACCAAGTTTGTGTAATTGTGTGTTTCTTCCGGAGGAGAGAGTGTTGGCGATTATTTTGAAGCCAAAAGCTTTTCCCGTTTTTAGATTTCATCGGCCCCTTCAGGCTTAAGTTTTTGCAAGTCCACCACTACCAGCATTATTCTTTATTCAAATTTATTTTGCCATTAGATTCTCAAGAAGAAACAACAAAGAGAAAAATATATTGTCATAAAAACATATGGTACATGGGAATGGGTCAAGGAGAGTGAGGAGTGAGACTCGGGAAGATGGGTCAAGAAAAATATATTGTTTGAGCCTAACTGGGTGTAGGAGTGAGACTCGGGAAGATGGGTCAAGGAGAGTAAGCAAGGAGAGAATAACAGTCAATGGAAGAACTCAGGAAACTACGAATAGAGTTGAGAGGGTAATATCTTAGAGAGAGAAGTTGATAATCTTAGAGATAGAGTCAGAAAAATCTGATCCCCTCACCCACCGGAGTAAATGCCTTATTTATAGGCTACATGGTGGTGGGTGAGTTACATGGTGACATGTCATGGTGACATGTCATGGTGACATGACCACTGACATGTCAGAAGACTAGGCCATACCTCTACCTAGGACAAGTACATTTAGCCTTTCATTATACCTAGGACTGCGATGTGACCACTCGGTAGGTGGGACGCGGCGTCGTTTTCCCATACTCGCTGATCTAGTCAACGCTGGACTCGGGCTGCCCTTGGACGCGACGGTGCTGATGCGCCCGTCTCTAGGTATTGGCGCTCGCCGGTGTGTTCGCTCGCGCCGGTGTTGGTGCGCCCGTCTCTTGGTATTGGCGCTCGCCGGTGCGCTTGCTCGCGCCGGTGCTGGTGCGCCCGTCTCTTGGTATTGGCGCTCGACGGTGTATTCGCTCGCGCCGGTATCACGCCCAACTCTTCTGATGTCGGTGTTTCTTTGGCGCGGCGGAATCCGAGTCACATGCCCAACAGTTCTTATTAATCTTTATTTTTAGGTTTAATGACAAATTGATCTTTTATATCATTGAATAAGCGGCCAAACGCAAAACCAGTAAAACTACTGAATGGCTAAACCTCGCCATAGTTCTATTTTTATCGCCCTAACTTAAAAACGTAAAATTACCAGAATAACCTTTAATGAATAAAACAAAAGTCCCTAATCCTCCCGTGCCTCCAAACCACCTCAGATGTTCCTCCATCGCTGACCGAGAGCGCTAGAAACGACTATGGGAGAGGAAGGCACGAGTCTCCAGGAATGACTTCAGCCCAAGGCTCCGATATCATTCGTCCTCGGCGGCTGGCACTGCTGCAAACCGCAGCGACACTTCATTTCCTCTCCTCGTTGCACACCAATCCAATTCCCACTTTTGTCTACCACTTTACCACTCTCTGTTCTCAATCGAGATTTCGTTCTCCCCTCTTATTTACTGATCGCACTAACTAGCTACATGTTCTTAATCCACTCGTTTAACCACTCTTTACTTTATTTTCCTCATGTTTGTTACATTTCCCAACCCAATATCAATCACGGAAACTTAATATGATCCAGTCAAATCCAAGCTTAATTCCCAATCTAATACCAATCACGGCCACTTCATCCGATTCAATAAAATCCAAAATTTTCTACTGTTGAATGAATTGTGTTTGTCAACATAAAATGTATTTCAACAATAAAAAGAAAAGGGTAATGGGTAATTTTAATTTTTAAGTTAGGGCGATTATAGAAAACTCGGGGCGACAATTAGCAACCCCAAAAACTAACCCCTACAAAATCAACAAACGCAATAGCACCTCCACTATGTCACTACAAAGCTCTGTCAAAATGGACTTATGCATGCCCATGAACCATGATGCGCAGACGAAACCCCGATCGTGACATTGGAGCAGTCATTCATCTCATTGGACATGAATTAAGCAATTTGTTTGATTTTGGGCGCCTCGCTAATCTAAATCTCAGATTCTTGAGACATTAACTATTAGATTCACAAACACCCAAGTCTCTAATTAACGAGTCTCCAAACAACACATTAAGAAAATACAATTTTTTATTTAGCAAGTACACAAACCCACTTGAAATGGTTGAAACCAAATAATCACGGCAATATAACACAACATACTTCTAATAGACCGACCTATGATCAGAAGATACGAGTCCTTAAACACTTAAAACAAGCATACAAGTGCAGCAGTCACAACAGGCATAGCCAACAACTTCCACAAAACCCCCAAAATTGACTTAAGGCATGGCCTATTGGACTAGGGAGGGATTGCACACGTAAGGAAATATATATATGTGAAAGAGGGTGCGAAACATCCACAACAAAAATATATAAGCAACTTAACATGGTCATATGCAACAAACAAGCAGTAATTCATCTAGAAGAGCAAATACCACGATTTTGTCATACTCGATCCTAGATTATCAAATCGTCACTCAAATTAGACACTTGACATTAGTTTGCCAATCGAATCAGCATAAACATGATGAATGATGAATGATAAATGCTAAATTATCATACTTGATCCTAGATTATCAAATCGATTAATAATCTTAATTCCTAACTTTTTAATTCAACATTCAATTAGGAAATAGCAAATCGGCATGAAGAGGAGTTATAAAACACTATAGAGGATTAAAATCATGTTCAATGGGAATAAGAAAGGGGGAGTTCGATCGAAATTGAGAGATCTCCAATTAGTGTTTCAAACCCTTGAACCAGCTCGAGATCTGAAATTTCAATCCCAAATCCACATTTGATGCATGAAATAGATGCTAATAAATAGATATATTTGTGGTGAGGAATGGCAACTTAATTGGCACTTACCCATCTCGATTTGATCTACAAAATACTCTAAGGCAATGTCAACATAGAGCTTTTGCCACGTCAGTTCCTCCTCCAAGAACCGCACACTGCAGAGGGACTTTCACGTCAATTCAACAATTCTTCTCTTTCCAGTTTCCACGCATCCTGATTTACATTCTCTCACCGGAAATCGAATCCTTTTATCTAGGTGATAGCTTTTGAAATCGTCCTTGAGTCTTCCAATCCTTGTCGGAATCGAAGACATTCCTCTAGCCCAAAGCTACCGGAGAATAGCAAATATATTCATTCTTGCAATCCCTAACGTAATAGAAGCCCTCTGTTCTGTCTTTGTGTTTTGTCACCATACCTCGAGGAAAAGCCCCTTCATCCTACTACCGAAAAGCGAACAACTCATCGTCTCTTCCAAACTTCAATCTAAATCGAAATCTCCTTTTTGTCACAATCAACCTTAGATTGGAATCTCTGCTTATCACAGCTCACCATAACTCTGAACTTTTTTGACACACTCAATCCAAATCGCTCACCATCGCTCTCTCTGTACTTCCCCGATCATCGTCGTGTTTGTTGCCATCTGTTCTGTCTTTGATAGAGACCCGCGAGGCGGGTAGGGTGGGTTGGGGCCGGCCATGTGGGCCAGGGTTGAGTGGCAGTTAGGTTATTTTTGTTAGTTTTCTGAAACTCATAAAAGAGGGTTAGTACGTTCATTTGAGATTAAGCAATAATAATATCAAAATCCCTAAATCCCTCTTCTCTCTGTTCTTCCCCAATTCTTCTTCAAATCCCTAATTCTTCTTCTCAATTCCCAACCCAATTCTTCTCTATCATTTGGTATAAGAGTCTCCAATGAGCTCGATACAGCTCTCTGCTCAGGAATGGGCCTGTGTGAAGCAACAGTTTGACGCTATCCAGGCTTCCCAAGCTCAAACCACTCGTGAACAAGGCCGAGAACTGGTGACTGCCGCGCGCGCGGCGCCGCAGGTGGTGGCGGATGGCTAGCCGAGGCAGCCCACGCGGACGAGCGACCAGGGTGTCACGCTGGGCGAGGCGAAGCGGCTGGAGGGACAGGGGATCCCTTGGCGGCTGGTGGTGGGTCACGGCGATCGCGGGTCGAGGACTCCGCAGGCGGCGCAATAGAGGAGGTGGAGCGCCAGGGGGAGCGCCGCGGGCAGAGGCGCCGGAGGGGCGGCGCGTCTCGTTGCGCAGGGTGGAGGAGGATGCGGCGGCGGAGGAGGAGTCGACGGGAGGAGGGGAGGCTCCCGCTCTGTCTCTCCATGAAGTGACGGGGCTGCCGACACCAGGGACTCTCCATTTTCGGGTTCAGGTTGCCGGTACCACGACGCTAACTTTGGTGGACAGTGGCACCACCCTGAAATTCATTAGCGAGGAGCTAGCCAAGCTCCTTCCGCAGGCGCCAAGCTCGATGGATATGATGGTGTTCCAAGTAGCGAATGGGGAACCCATGCAGTGCAAGGCTGTCTATAGGGAGCTTCCCTTCGAGATTCAAGGGTTGTCCGTCACCGCGGATGTGTTTGTGCTGTCCATTCGCGGGTTTGACATGAATTTGGGTGTTCCATGGTTGCAGGGATTGGGATCGGTCACCACCGATTGGAGCCGCTTGACCATGTGATTCAAATGGAGAGATAAGGAGTGGTGTTTGCAAGGGCTTACCACGGCCCTAGGTCCGGTCTCTCTCCACGAGTGCGCCATCGAGGAGGAGGCGGAGTTGGCGGTCCTGTGCTGGCCCGTGGTGACGACTGAGGACCAAGAGCTGGCCCCCGACCTCCAAGGAGTACAGGCAGGGTTTCCAGAGCTCTTCCAGACACCTACCACATTGTCTCCCCATCGCCAGGTTGACCATCGCATTCAGCTCAAGGAAGGGATGGAGGCTGTGAATGTCCGTCCCTGCTGATACGGCTATTCACAGAAGGAGGAGATCGAGCGCCAGGTCGAGAAGATGCTCGCGACCGGCTTGATTCGGCCCAGCACCAGTCCCTTTTCCTCGCCGGTGCTTTTGGTTAAGAAGAAGGATGGGACTTGGCAATTCTGCACCGATTACCAGGCGCTCAACACCGCTACGGTGAAGGATCGATTTCCAATTCCAACGGTGGACGATATGCTATATGAGCTCCACGGATCAACATACTTCACTAAACTCGATCTGCGAGCATGGTACCACCAGATTCGGATGCAGGAGGAGGATGCGCACAAGACCGCTTTCCGGACTCATAATGGCCATTATGAGTAC